TTTTTTGTTTTTAATCTAAAAATGATTGTCATGTATATTCCTGGAGGTAAACAATACAACTCTTATATAATCAGATTTTTACTATGTCTGCACATCATTGAAGAAATCACACCTGAGATAGAACTGGTAGGTTAAATAGCAGTGCTAAGAGAAAAATGAATTTTATGCACTCTAATAAAAAAGGAGAGAAATTTTACCTAAAAAATTGTTAATTGATTAAATACATATCACTCTAACCATTAGTCAAAAACCAGTCATGGTCATCTAATATGGACAACATCATCTAGCTCCAGTAGTGAACAGAAGAGTTAATCTGGAGCTGAAAATGAAATACCACTCATACCTTCCCCAGAGGGGCCAGTCTTATAGCTTGAATTTGAGTGGATTTTAAAAGACAAAAACCATAAACAGGGATATTTTAATCTTTATGATTAAAAAGAAAAGATAAAATATCTTAGAATATATGTTAATGAAAAATATAAATTTTTTTGGCTAAGCTAGGTGACAACCTGAAATTTGATATAATAAAATTTCAGATAATCAAATGGGAAATATTGGTTTTTAAATATTTAGTGTACTTACTTTTATATTGCTTATTTTAATTCAGAAAGAATTTATGTGAATGATGTGAAATGAATGTGCTACACTTAAGTCAATTTCCTTTTATTTTCCCCTGGAGTTTACACTTATTTTATTGATATGTGACTATGTGACTTTTTCCAAAGATGACTTCTTTATAATACTACTGATAATGAAAGGAAGACTCTCAATGAGATGGATTGACACAGTAGTAATGGGTTCAAGTATGGCAGAGATGGTGAGAATGGCACAAGATGGTCAAAGTTTAGAGTTACTGGTCACTATGAGTCATTCTCAACTTGATGGCACCTAACAACAACAAATGTAATATTTTTTTATAATTTTGTAACTGAAGAACTACTCTCTATTTTTCTAAAACCATTGATTCTACTTGTAAAACAATTTTTTAAACTTTTTAATGTATGAGATAAAGCCATTCATGTACTTAAAAATAATATTTAGTTTGCCAATTAATGAATAAATTATTTTAATTAGGAAAGCTGTTATAGTGGTTGTTTTGATAACTAATCTGATTTATCACTTTCTAAACATTTTTTGGTGAAAGTGGCATTACTTATAGATAATCAAATTAATATATGGACTCAAAATAAATTTGGTGGCATAGTAGTTATTCTACTAATGGCAGTCACTCCTTGGAAAAAGAATTAGGTAGTCTGCTTTCATAAACTCCGTGGAGAAGTTCTACTCTCTCCTAAAGGGTCTTTATGAGTCAGGATAGTCTCAGCGGCAGAAAGGTTTTTGTTTTTTATTCCGGTTTTTTTCGGGAAGAAAACATAACAAATAAGATGACTAGAAAGTGAGGTTACTCTGATTTTTATCAACATTAAAAAAAGTCAGCTACACGTTTCTATATATCCTCACTGTGCTGTTTAAGATTTTAGTGGAAATGTATAGCAATTACTTTGCTACTGAATATAGATACGCACTATTGAACATCCTATAGATAGCTTTTTCCTTGCACCAAGAAAATCACTACAACTGAAAGAAATGGAGTAACTGTTTTTTCTGTTTCTACAGTGCTCTTCTTTTAATCACATCACTATCCCACCCCTTTTCCTTTTTTTTTCTCTTTCTCATTCTTTTTAAATATTCTACTAGTTTACAAAATTTGAATACATTTTCAAGAATACTCCTCCACCTGTCAAATTGTACAACCGCATGATTAATCACCCACACCCCCCCCCCCCCCGCACATCCTCATCCCTCTGTTCCCAGCCTCTAATGGAGTAATTCTTATTAAAATAACTAGGCTTCCCATCCTACTGTCAAACACATTCTACTAGAGAAATCAAGTCCTACTTGATCTTATTTATTCCATTACTCTTAATTCTTTTTTAGCTCACTGTAATTTTTTTAAATTGTTTCTTGTTTTAAATTTTATAATGGTTTACACCTAAAGTTTATAAAGTTTGTATACATTGTTATTTTATTATTAGTCAAATTCCGTGTTATTAGATGTCCTAGAGATAATTCAATCACTCAGAGGCCTTAGGTACAACAAAATGAAATAGTGCCTGCTTCTGTGTCATCCTCACACTCATTGATCAATTAAATATATAAAGTGAAATATTTAATCTTCTCTGAGATAAACAAACTTCACTTAAATATGAAATGACACTTGTTCTTTTAGTTTTATATTAACTTATTTTTGTGCCTTAATATATTTTTTCAGCTTTTTCTGGTATGGTTCAAATTTAAAGCAATGGAATCACTTTAGTGAGTTTTCTCAAGATTTTCTTCTTTTAACATTTTTTAAGATTGATGATTGTATAGTTTTAAAAACAATTTCATGCTAGTGTATTAATTCAATTTCCTACATAAATGAGCACATCAATGATGATTCCAAGAAGCCAAATAGGTAATTACATCCATTATTTTAAATAGAGTAAAATGATTTTATTAAAACTAATTCTCAATTACCAAGACTTTGGAGTAAAACTCTTCATTAATTTTCTTAATTTGATTCTTCTAATAATTACTAGAAGATGATAGAATTTTAGAAAAGCACATACCTAAGACTTATAGATGTATAGTGAAATATATATGTATTTATTTCTTTTTAAAGTGTTATAACATTTTAGGGGATTGAATATAGTTGATATTTTTCTTTTTAAAGAAAAAATAAACCACTACTTTAGAGTTGAGTACATTCCTTGGCAAATATTGAGATCATAACTAAAATTTAAAACTTACTTCACTTGTAGCTATATTTTTTTAATAAAAGATAGAGTGTCTTCAGAATATTTGGTAAACTGCTAAGCAAAAAAATTGAAATTCATAAGATTTCATGTTCTATTTTGCTCTTCCAGAACTAAATGTGATATAACTGTGCATGTTTGTATATATCATGTAAGTAAAGTAACAAGAGAATCAGAGCCAAAAAAACTTAACTCCAGTTGGCACTAAGTGAACTGCCAATTGAGTCAATTGTGGTAGCTTAGTCTAGGAAGCCACCTAGAGTGTAAATGTGAAGAATGTGTGATAAGAAGAGTGGAAAGTTAGCCTACATACAGTGCAAAACGGCAGAGAAAAGCATAGTTTAGTGAAAGAACCTAAGGATTCTGGCACCAATGAAACACACTGGGATAAAAAGTTTGATGATTAGTTAGTTAGAATCTATAAATACATAGAGTTCAAAAATGCAAGAAAGAAAGAACTCCAGATAGGAGACCAAAAATATTATCTTCAGAAAAAATGGACAAGAAAATTCTGAAGTAGGAACCAAAGTATGAGAGACAAAGCATGAATCACAAAAGATCCAAAACAAAACCAAAAGCAAATCTATTAAAAAAACTCAAAACAAACAAAAAACAAATGAGAAACAGTTCTGATCCTGCCTGGAAATGCTCTAGGAAGTTTATTATATTTTATAATTTTGAAAGAATTAAGATTATAGATAGTAACCAATTTAAACTTAAGGAATAAATTCAATCATTGGCTTATCTTTTGGTGAATTAAAGGGAGGCTTAAAAACATAGGAAACCTACTAAAAGAAAATACTATTATTTCATTAGGTATATAACTCAATTAACATGCACATTTTTTAATTTTTTTTCTATAATTATATTTTATTAATTTTCATAAACATTTACAGAGATTTTGGGCTTCCACTCATTCATTGTTGCACTATTCTCTCTACCCTCCTCCCAGTTTGTTCTTGTCCAAATGCCACAGTGCTTGTCAAAGCCAGTTCTGATTAATCTTCTTTGTCAGTGTGTCCTTTGCCATTCCCTATCACTCCTCCCTGAGAGAGACTTCACCCTGAGTCATAAGGAAAAGGGGATGGCGTATTCTCTTAGCTACTTCCTGCTGAAAAGGGACGCTGTGGGTTTCAGGGTGAAGATCTTCTCTCACTACTCTAAAGGGCCCCTTTGGCAGTAGGAAACACATAGACTATTATGGAGATTGATTTTGGAATTTAGATGCACTCTTATTGATTGTGTTTGGCTGTACATGTTCATATCCTTGATGTATCATGGGGGTGTTGCAACCTAGAAGACACAAATTTGACTAACAAGTTATAAGTACATGAGTCCAAAAATTATGGAAAAGTAAAAGAAAAGATTCTTTCATTGTTTTACAAACCCTCCCCCAGGTCCCCTCCACCATGTAGCCCTCGCTCTAGACTCCTGTGATGACAGAAATACCCAGTTATATCTCTCTTTTAAACGGTTCTCTCCCTCCTCTGTTTCAGTGCAGTATACATTATTGAACCCATCTTACTCAGTCTCTCCCCAACCCCAAGGACAGTCCCATTCTACAACAGTGGCATCATGTAATATTTGTCCTTTTGTGACTGGGATATTTCACTCAGCATAATGTTCTCCAGAGTCAACCATTTTGAATAATATTGCATGAGTTCCTTGTTTCACTCTGGAGCTTACTGGTCTTTGGTCTTTTACTAAAGATATTTCCAGGGTTGTAACCATTATGAGTTAAACTGCACATTTTTTTATATTTGCATTTACATTGAGGGAGAGGAATGAAAGATTGAACAATAGATGTTGAAAAATTAAATTACTATTAACTTATCCACTTGAAATAATTCATTGGACTCATTTTACTCTTTGATAGCTTTAATCAAGGGATCATAAATTCATTATAAAGATAAACTCACATGAAGTCATAATCTATTGCCACAAATTACATTGACAGAATTCACAATATCTCATCATTTACAACTTCCTGGGTTTAAAAAATGTAGTAATGCAAATATTACTTGCAAGTAAAGCATTAATCAACTAAAATATATTTTTCAGGAATGCTCACCTTCTTTCTATAGGAATCACATATTCACTTTCTGTATGCTCTTATCTTCAAAAACACTAACAGGTTATATGGTGACCTTTTCCAGATTATTTTAAAGACTTTCTGAAAATTCCTTCAGAGACTAGACGGATATGATGAATAGCTCAGTGATATCTGAGTTTGTTTTGTTAGGACTCACCAGAACGTGGGAACTTGAAATTTTCTTTTTTTTCATATTTTTGTTGACCTATGCAGCAATCGTGACAGGAAACCTTCTCATTGTGGTCACTGTAACCTTTGACTTTCACCTGCACTCCACACCTATGTACTTTCTCCTTGGAAATCTCTCCTTTCTCGATATGATTATCTCAACAATTACAACACCTAAGATGCTGGCAGATTTCCTCAAAGAGAAGAAAACTATTTCCTTGTGGGGCTGCATGGTTCAGATGTTTTTCCTTCATTTCTTTGGAGGCAGTGAGATGACTCTTCTTATTGTTATGGCTGTTGATCGGTACATCGCAATATGCAAACCTCTTCACTACACTACCATCATGAACCGACGGGTACTTGTGGGCTCTGTGCTACTCTCATGGGCTGTTGGTTTTGTGCATACTTTGAGCCAGATGGTTTTTACTATCACCTTGCCTTTCTGTGGACCCAATGTAGTGGATAATATTTTTTGTGACCTGCCCTTAGTCCTAAAACTTGCTTGCACTGATACTTATATTCTGGAGTTGCTGGTCATTGCTGATAGTGGATTATTGTCTTTCATCTGCTTCGTGCTTTTGCTCATTTCCTACACCGTCATTCTGGTGACTGTTCGACGCCGGTCCTCTGGTGGACTTTCCAAAGCATTGTCCACACTATCTGCTCATATTACTGTGGTCACTCTGTTTTTTGGTCCGTGTATCTTCATTTATGCTTGGCCATTTAGAAGCTTTTCTGTGGATAAATTCCTTTCAGTGTTTTATTCAATCATCACACCTTTACTCAACCCCATTATTTATACTTTGAGGAATCAGGAGATGAAGGCAGCCATGGGTAGACTGAGGATCCAGCATGTCAGCTCCAGACAGAACTTCTAGAACACATTCACGGTGATGAATTTTTCAACCAAAAATTGTATCTCAGAATACATTTGTTTGATGCACAGATTTTTACAATATATGTACAGTGAAATTACCAGATGTCCCATAATTATTTTTGTATGGTATTATTGAAATAATAGTTATTTTAATGGAAATTCAATTTCATTTTAGAATATTTTAAAATTCAAAAACTGATATCTGTCTTATTAACTATAGCTGGAAGCTGAGTAATGCCCAAAAATTATTAAAGAATCTTTCTGGTAACTCTTTGCCCAAAGTGTTGCTTTCTTAAGTTACCAAATATGATTTTGTACTTTTAATTTAGAATAAAGGTCCTTCCTCAAAGTTCTCTAGGTAAATAAATATGAACAAAGTTGTAAACCTACATGTACATACATATGCATTCACATTTTTTGTGACTCTTAATATGATTACTAGGAATTTTACTTTAAAACAAATGAGGTTAGTTCTTAGGGAGCTTTGGTGGCCTAGTAGGTAGGGAATTGTGTTACCAAACCAGAGGTACATGGTTGGAATACACAAAAGATGGGCAATTTCCTCCTATGTGGATTACTGCCTCTGAAAATCCAGTTGATCTTATGAGTATCAGGATACATACAGTGATGTGTCCCCTAACATGAAGCAAATATTTATTTCATATAGCAAAAAAATGAAAATAATTCCTCATAGAAGTCATTTGGAGCTTCAGTCTATCTTAAATGATATTTGTATTCATATTTATTCTCATATATCTCTTAAGAACCAGATATAGGCAGTCCTTCAGTTATAAACAACATCAGCTCTTAGCTATGTCTGTAAACTAAATTTTTCAGTAAATTTGTAGGTAAAAAAAAATTTATGGTTAGGTGCCATCAGTTCTTCTATAAATCATAGTGACTCTGTGAACAACAAGCTTGAATCTTGGCATATCCTGTGCAACATCTCCAACACAGTTGAGCTCATAGCTACCGTCACTATGTCAATCCATCTTCTTCTGCTAACTCTCCACCTTTTCAAGCATGGTATCTTTCTACAAGAACTGACCTCTCCTGACAATATGTCCAAAATATGTGAAGCAAAAGATGTCCCAGGTCCAAGCCATGATATTATTAGTTACTTGATGTGTATCTGAAACCTAGACAATGACTAAAGATGACAGAAGAACAATCAATGCCTTTGAGTTGTGTAGCTGGGGAAGAGCATTGAACATACCATAGACTACCAAGAGAATAAATACGTCTGTCCTGGAGATAGTGAAACCAGTGTGTTACTTGGAAGCAAGGATGGTGGGGCTCTATCTCGTAAACTTTGAATAGCTTGTCAGGAGGGGCCAGTCCTTAGAGAAGGACATCATGCTTGGAAAGGTCTAAGGCCATCACAAGAGAAAAATTCTTATAGCTGACCTTCTGGTGGCTTTTCAGAGGCAGTTAATCACACAGGACAAGAATTCTCACCCTTCTGCCTTGGAGCAGCTAGTGGCCTTGAAACACGTGCCTTTGGGATTGCAGTGCTACTTCTTGCCACTAGGTCACCAGAGCTCCCTTGAGCAATGGAGTGTGCCAGAGATTGGGAGGTTGGCTCAGTTCAGTGTCATTGTTTATAGAGTCACTATGAGTCATAGTCAACAGCACATTCCAACAATAAACAATAGGCAATTGTTATGATAGAGGAAAAAAGAAAGACAAATAATCCTACCTATTGGACATGTTGTAAGGAAGGACTGGTCCTTGGAGAGGGACATCATGCTTGGTAGGGTGGAGGGACAGCGCAGGAGGGGAAGGCCCTCTATGAGGTGGATTGATTCAGTGACTGGGGTAATCGAGATGGGAGCGTCAGAGACAGTGAGATTGGCACAGGACAGAGCAGAGTTTAGATAGGGTTGCTATGAGTCACAAGCGACTTGACGGCACATAGTAACAACAACATGCAGTCAATGGAAAAAATTAAAGAGCACTATAGTAAACATGTTTTGTTTCTTTTTTATTTATTTTTGACAGGTATCCCTGAATTGACTACAACTCTTAATAACATTTGAACGAAATACCTTGTACCATCTTAATGATTTCCACTATACTCAAACCCATTGTTTCAAGTGATTACGTCCATCTCATTGAAGTCTTCCTTCCCCCCCCCCACTAACCATTTCTCTACTTCCCCCAACACTATGTATTTTTCTAAGGATACCTACAACATACTCAAAATACATGAGATAACATTTCCTCATCCTTGACTCTAAGGAATACACTGGTTACACTTTCTCCAAGACACATATATTTATTCTTTTCCAATTTCATGGAATAATCAATACTTTTAACCAACACTACAATTCAAAGGCATCAATTCTTTATCAGCATTTCTTATTTGTTATATTTTCACATGCACAGGGAATAATAAAAAATATCATAACTTGAGTCAGGTGCATCTTAGTCTTTAAAATTATACTGGTCCTCTTTAACATTTTGAAGAGACTTTTGCCAGCAGATTTGATTAACATAACTTATCTTTTGACTTCTTGACTGCTATTACAATGGATGTTGATCATGAATTCAAGTAAAATGAAATCGTTGACATCTTCAGTCTTTCTCCATCTAACATATTACCTATTGATCAATTGTGAAGAATTTATTTTCTTGATGTTGAGGTGCAATTCATAGTGAAGCCTGTAGACTTTGATGCTTATCAGAGTTTTGAGTTTTCTTCACTTTTTGTAAGTAAAGTTGTGTCATCTGTATAACATAGTTGGTTTTTGAGTGCTTCTTCAATGCTGATGCCACTTTCTTCTTCATATAGTCCAGATACTCAAATGGTTTATTAAGCAACAAATTAAATAAGTATAGGGAAAGGATACAACCCTGGCACAGACTTTTATTTATTTTAAATCATGCAATTCCCCCATGTTATGTTCAGAACACTGTTCATTGGTCTATATAACATAGGTTTACCATTAATACAATTCAGTGTTCTATAATTTCCATTATTCTCAGTGTTAGCCAGAATTTGTTATGATCCATCTAGTCAAATTCCCTTGCACAGTCAATAATGCACAAGCAAATATCTTTATATGAATATTCTGCATTCAGCTAAGATTTATCTGATATCATCAACAATATCCTTCATTTCACACTTTCTTATTATTTCAGCTTGAATCTCTGGCAGATCCATGGCATTGTAATATTCCACTCATTTTTTCCCCATAATCTTCAATAAGATCTTATTTGTATGTTATAGTAATGTTATCATTCAGTAATTCCCACACTCTGTTGGACAATCTTTATTTGTTGAAACTGTCTTGGTTGTATTCTGTTATTAATCTGGATTATAATTTTTGGCTTACCCAGGTACAGTTCTGTGTGGTCTCCAAGCTATCATATCACATTTTGAACCCTAAAAAGCAGTAATGTTGGTGCCAAGATGAATAGAAAGAAGCATGGGAGTGTAGAGAATATGTCTGACCTCACGGGAATTGGTTGTGAAGGTAGTAAAGGTCAGATACGGCCACCCTCACACAGCCATGGCTCTTTTTACATTTTACAGTTTTGTCCTGGAGAGGGTGAAGCTGGGCTGCTCCTTGGAGGAAAGGATTCTGAAGCTCTGTCTTACATTATTTTGGATATGTTGCAAAGAGGGAACAATCCTTGGAGAAGGACTTCATGCTTGGGAGGGTGGAGGGACAGTGCAGGAGGGGAAAGCCCTCTAAGAGGTGGATTGATTCAGTGACTAGAGTAATGGGAGTAGGTGTGTCGGAGATCATGAGATTGGCACAGGATAGCGCAGAGTTTAGGGCTGTTGTGCGTAGGGTTGCTATGAGTCGCAAGTGACTCGACGGCACATAACATTTTTTTTAAAACTTGTTTTAATTAGTTCATAATAAAATGTAAGAGCATTGGCCAATAGGAGAACTCTGCCTTGAAGGAATTTCTTCAGATTGTACTTCCTCAAAAATATGGCCATACCTTACAACACTACACTTAGAGATATTGGACTCTGGCTACGATCACATAACTAGCAGGCTATTCAATACTATTCATAATCCAGTACTATCATGTTCTAAAAGAAATTAATGTTTCTGTTTCACATAAAGAGTTTGGTAAACATATACAGCACTTCAATTCATAATAAACTTAAAACAACTCAAATGAATAAGTAAATTTCAATCTATCCATGAAATGAATTATTTTTGAACAATAAAATAAACTAGAAGTTGTTGTCAGGTACCATTAATTCCATTTTGACCCATAGCAACTTTATGACGAGAATTCTGATGGCCTAGTTTCAAGAAGCTGCCTTATAAACTTGAAGACACATAGGTAAAATTCACCATCTGCTCCACAGAAGGATGGGGAATCTCCTTCCATGCAGATTAACTAACTGCCTCTGAAAATCCACCTGCGGGTCAACTCTGGGTTGGTTCTGACTCTACAGAACACAACAACAACAACAGTAACTTTATGTACAATGGAATAAACTATTGCCTGTTCCTGTGCAATCTTGTATCATTGCTATATTTAAACCCTCCATTTTAGTTACTATGTCAATTTATTTGAGGATCTTTCTTTTTCACTTATCCTTTGCTTTACCAAGTATTGTCCCTCTCTAGGGACCAGCCTTTTCTAATAAATTTTCCAAATACATGACACAAAGTTCTACCATTCTAATGGAGCACCTGGCTATACTTCTAAGACAGATTTTGCTGTTCTTATGAAATGCCATGGAATTTTCAATATTCTTCTCCATCACCATAAAATATTCCTCTCTACCACCACAATTCAAATGTATTAGTTCTCTTTCAGTCTTTCTTATTTATTATCCTTTCTTTTACATGAATATAAGGCAATTGAAAGTATGACTTGGCTCAAGCACACTTTAGTATTTAAAGTGATTTCTTTGAAATACTTATTTTCCTTTTTTATATATGATAAATTTTTATTTTATATTGGTTTGCTTGCAAAGCTCACATACATTGTGTTTCATACACTCTTTCCCATTCATTATATTTT